ACACACACACACACACACACACACACACACACACACAGAGAGAGAGAGAGAGAGAGAGAGAGACAATGTGAGAAAAAGCACCCTCCCACCACCACCATGGGGAATGGCCACACCACATTCCCTTCTTGACTTCTCCCTTTGGGATTTTGGACATGCACATGTATGTACGTGCACACACACACACACACACACACACCCACCCCCCCTACCTGGTGTATTTGTCAAGCTGCCAGGTCTGAGACGTAAACCACACCGTCATCCATGTGAGATCCAGTCACCTCAACCACCATGCCACCAGCTGGCCTATTTTACTGTTTTTCTGTCTAGTTTTTTTTTCATTATCGTTTTACTTGGGGCCAGCAGGTCACGTCGTTATTAAGGCACTGGATTCACACATGGCAGCAGTGGTTTGAGTCCCAGACCTGGCAGCTTAAAAATCACATCAGGCGTGTGTGTGTGCATTCCCAAAATCTCAGGAGGAGAATGGATGAGAAGGGATTGCAGCATGGCTATCCCCGCCCCGAGGGGTGATTTCTCACTTTCCTGCTTACTGTCTCTATCTCTTCCTGTGAGCACAGGCATCCTACATCAAAAACCTTTTAAAATTTTTTTTTACTTAAATAAAATAGTGGATCAATTTAAACACAAGTTATTAAGTAAATGACAATGAGGGTGATAGGTAGATTAGTGAAACATACACCAGTGATTAAAGCTTGGGGAAGTTGAATAGTTCAGATGAGTAGTGTTCTCATTCACTTACTCATCATCATTTATCAAATGCCTGCCTATTCTAGGGCTGTGGATTCGGCAGTTGGTACTATAAACAAAGTCCCTTTTTTGTGGAGCTCAAATCCTAAGTGGGAAAGAGAAACAAATACACAGGGCAACAGCAGTGGTGCAGGGGTAATGCCGTGCTCCCTGAGGCAGGATCCACAGGCAAGAGGCCAAGTTTGTGTCCAGAGGCCTCCCTATACATTCTGGGCTGGCTGAGCCTGGGGTGGATTGCAGCATGAAAACCCTGCTGATGGTCTTTCTTTTAGAAGAAATAAATGTGTCTTATGATATCAGGTAGTTAATCAGATAGTGTTATAAAGAAAAAATAAAGCAGAGTTCGGGGCTAGAACTTGAGGGACTACTGCTTTAGAGTCAAGGGAATCCTTGTCCAAAAAAATTGCATTTGATCAGAAACCACCAAAAATTTAGTTTATTTTGCAAGCATGCCTTGGGTGTTTGGCTCTGGAATACAAATATAGATAAGGCTGATCAGAAAAGTTCATAATTTAGGGGTGGAGGTCTTAACTAAAGTTTAATAACATGGACTGCAATAATATCAATGTATGGGAGATACTTTGGGAGCTTGAAAGAGAAGAACAGTTGTCATAGGTGATGAGAAATGAGGTCATGGAAGATTCCCTAGAGAAGGTGATTGTCCTGAGTTGAGTCTTTCGAGATGAGGAGGAGATAGCAGAGGAAGGAGATGGTAGAAAGGTAGGAACATTCGCATCAGATGGAACAGCATATACAAAGGTATAAAACATTCCTCGTGACTGGCATGTGGTGGGCATTCAGTAAATTTCTGTCAGATAAAGAAACGATGTGAGGAATGCTCTGGTATGGCAGGGACATCAAGATTGCAGCAAGGAGTGGAAGGGGAGTGTGCTGCCAAGGTAGCAAAAGCCTCGTGCTTGCCGCTTTGGAAGACTTGAACTTCTTCCTCTGAGCTATATGGACCCAGGGGATGATTAATGAGAGCAGAGACATGGCACACGTGCTTCATTCATGAACCACTCTTGTGTCAGTTTGGGGATAAATTTGAGTGGGATAAGGAAAGGCACCAAGGAACCAGGAAAGGGCAACTGGGGAGAAAGTCAAGAAAACCCTGAAAAGACTAATGAGAAGAAAAGAAATAGAGAGAGTCGATTGGCTTTGGCAGATCAGCAATCCTTGGTGAGTTAAAGCAGCTTAATTTGTAGGGCCATTCAGTCGGTGCAGTGGTTAAGGTGGCTGAATCCCACGCGGTTAATTACACAGTTCGAGTCCTGAACCTGGTAGTGTGAAAAACACACAGGTTGAGTGTGTGTGCATGCCCAGAATCCCAAAAGGAGAATGGAGGAGGAGGGATTGTGATATGGCTGGTCCTCCTAGGGTGTGCTTTCTCTTTCTCTCTGGTGAGCGTACACACCTTATAGTAAATTTAAAAGAATAATAATAATGATGATGATAATCATAATAAACACAGCTTTTGTGCAATGACAATGGAATCTGAATTTGGGGGCTTTGAGGACTCTACGAAGGGTGAGTAATTCTAGACTGGGGATCAGAAGCTGTACTGTGTACAATGTTAAGTGTTGATTCAGAATGAGCTAAATATCTAGTCTCACTCAGAGACCCAGTTTCAAGGTCCTCTGCCTGGACTCTGCTCTCTAGAGGGCCCCAGTTTGGCTCTTCCCAGTAGCCCTCTTTCTATGGAGTTACCTGGAGTGTACCCACCCTTCTAGATCACACTCAGGGTTCTTCAGGCTCAGAAACTCACTGCTCCAAAGGCATTAAACCCATTTTCAAGGCCTAGTTTAGTCTTCTCCAGTGGAATATACTGAGGTGTATTCATCTCGTCTTGAAGGCTGAATCAAGGGTTGTTTGTGAGGGATGAGGAGAGAAATTGAATATAAGCACTGGTGTGCTTGAGGCCCCTGGAGATTCAGATTAGAGCTGGAGGTGGAAGGTGAAGGGGGGCAGGGTGTGGTTGGGAATGGCTGCAAGTACCACTGAGTTCTTGAGTGGAACTTTGATGAGTCTAAGAATTCTAAAATTGACCATGGCCTTCTGGGTTGCTATGGAGGATTATTTGTTAAGATAAAAGAAATACTGTATTTAAAGGTTGTTAGTTTTATACTCAGCCTTTAAATATTTAGACATTTGCTATGTGAGCCCCCTTTTATTAGGAATCATCCTGAGTTTTCAGGATCTTTGTATTTATTGTGAATTATGCACCTAGGAAATACAGTAATGATTGGTAGGTGTCCAGTTGCTATAAGGCTACTTAAGTAAACTGTTACTAAATACATTTTTTTTCCCCAAGAAATTGAGGTTTACCTCATCTTCGATCAAGTACTTCACATGTTTGGCCTCTGTACAACCCCATAGATGCACAACCAGAATTGAATTAAATAGTGTAGAATAAGCTCACATATTAAAGTAACTTTTGAAACCAGATTTGGAAAAAATGAAAGCAACCCCTCCCCACCCTTTTTGGGTAAAAGAAATCACAACTTTGCAAATCCAAAATCTAGACAACAATCTTTGTGGTTAACCTATAGAGTGAAAGTTAATTAAAATATTTCAGAAAAATTAGAGAAAAATGTAGCAAAACCATTACGAATTTACCAAGGAAGTATATTAAGAAATTATATGCTTACAAGTTATTTATAAAGTCTTGGACATATTTCTTGATCTGATTAAAACATACTAAGTATTTCCAGAAAAAATTCCTTTCTAGATAAAAAGATCCAAGAAATCAGCATGATCATCACC